GGGTGTCAGGCAGCGCGCGGAGGGGGAGCTGTCCCTTATCCTAGGCAGGGCGCCTGGATTGAGAGCCTGTTCTGAAGATTCAATAGAGTATGGCCTTCCTGGGTGAGAAGGCTCGTGTGAAGTGAATGAATGCCATGCAACGTTGATATATGTCTTTGATGCATCGGGGTGGTAAGCAGCCCGGCACAGGGCCCACTGCGCCGTGTCGCGGTAGTAGCGCTCTTGTTTGAGGAAATAGGCAATCTCTGTGATGTCTGGTGTTGGAGCTGCCATTGTTTTCAGTCAAGTGATGGCTGTTCAAGCAGGATAGTAGATGTGAATGAAGGGGACTGCCACCAGTGTAAACTATGTACTTCAGACCCGCCCTTTTAAGACTGTTCGGCAAGTCTCACATACTGCAGGTCTTATAAAAATGATGGACCAGCAGCACATCATCCGAATAGACCCATCAAGCCATGCAGGAGCAAGTTGTCACGTTCAAAAATCTACTGACATTCGGGGAGAAGATTGGGCTCTCTACTTACCTATCACGCCATATCTAATGCATGTTGCATCTATTACGTGAGACCATAGCAGCCTCGGTTCATACAGCGGTAATATACCGCACTCTATCTCGGCCTCGTGTACTCCGTAACCAGGTAGTCACCACATACGTGTCCGTAAGCCCGCAGGTCTAAGGAAGGATGCACTGGAGATCTGCTACCACGTTAACCCGAAGACAGGTCTTCCAACCGAGCACACCGATTTAATTTGATTGAGGACTTTGCAGGATTCGCACGCTGATAACGGTGCCATAGATACAGCCAGTCGGCTGAAAGTCCGTCTAGTAGTGATATTGCGAAATGCACCCCTGCAGTAGGCTATCAAGTCTGAATCAATGGTTAGAATCAATGATAGGCACCGGTCTATGCCGGTTTATAACAGAGCGAGAAGTACTTTGGCGATTTCCGTCCCTCCAGACCGAGCGAGGATGCATGATCCGGAGGTGATTCCTCTAGAGGACAGCATATCCTGCGACTTCTGGTGCTTTGGCACCCTAAAGAGGCAATTTTCGAGCATGCACGGAGAAGGAATGGCATGAATTATTCTTATCGACGCCCTTACCGCTGAACCGTGTTTCAGTAACCCCTGCAGAATACGAGGACACCCTAATGTACTTGGTGTCATCAACCTAGCTGTAAGCCTGTCCTAATGCCACAATGATATTGGCACTGCTATGTGCGGATCAGCAGCAGTATGGATGGATTACTTCGACGAGCTCAAGGAAGCAGCCGTCAGTGGTCAACTGCGTTGCAGCCCTCATATCAACATGATATATATGCAATTATCTGTATTTATTGAGGACATTGATATGCCACTACACAGTTTGTGACAGTGCCAAAGGCCTATAGAGTCCAACGTTGCTATCAGCATGGCTGTGAGGTGGCTTTACGTGCCCGTGAAAAGACTCTGCAAGGCATCCTTCTGACCGAGATTCTGCTTGGGCCTTCTGTCCAGGATGCAAATCCATGTTCCAGGTTATCAAGCGCCGGCAGATTCGGCACAGAGCCCCCTCAAAGTAGTAAGACCATCGAAAGATACCCCCGGTGACTCAAGTGCAAGGGGATGCCAATATCTGACCGAGCGCTGATCAGAACCTTGCTTGGGGCGAAGGACACTTCCCTGGATACTTCTTCCTCTCGTCAAAGGATATATAACGTTGGTACATCGACAGGCTTTCACTGCTTCCACCCCAAACCATTCTCCTGGACAATCATTGCTCACTTCTCAACAGTATACTCCTTCAAGATGTCCTCTTCCACTCATATCCTCCTTTTTCCGCACGGGAATTCAGACCTTCTAGGCGCAATGCATGACTTGAATGTGCGATCCAAGACGCATGCCCACCTCCGCACATTTCTTTCTGCAGCTGCAGCGGTGGTACGTGAACAGGTCGACAGCCTGGATGGCCCCGAGCGTGCCAGAATTGGGTCGTTTGAGGATCTTGTGGACCTCGCAGAACATTTCGTCAAGCAACGTCATCCAAGTGCTGTCGCTGAAATACTTCTTTTCACGACGGTTCAGATCGGCCAGTTGCTGATGTACGTCCCTCCACCCGAACAAGTTGAAACCGAGCTGACATAGTATACCATAGCCTTGCAGAGGACAATTCTTCCATCCTATCTGGTACATCTGGTGACGCGGTACTCCCTGTTGGATTTGGTGTTGGGTTGATTGCGGCGTCTATTGCCGCCACTGTGACCAGCACAGACGCTATAATAGCTCTGGGCCTGCAAGGCATGGGAATCGCCTTTCGTCTAGCCGTCGCCCTGGAGCGGACGGGCCGGGCTATTCAAGACTCAAACGGCATATGGGCCCGCGCCGTCTCTGGCTCCAACCAGCAGGAGCTCGAGCAGCAACTGAAAAAGGTCAACAGCACGCTAGGACCACTCCACCAGGCGTATGTTGGCCAAGTATTGCCTGGGAGCGTGATCGTATTCGGACCACCCTCGACTTTAGAGACACTCGCCGAGAGGCTGGACCTCGCTTCAGTTGTGACGAGTCCGGATACGCTCTGCCGGTGTCCGATGTACGGATCACATCTGCCGCCCCTCGACGTCGACCAAATAGTTGGTGTATCGACGGTCCTTGATTTATACCAGCTTCAGAGGCCCCTATACTCTGCTCACTCTTCTACGAGCTCGCTTCCTGCAAACACGCTGGCCGAGCTTTTGCGCCTAGTAGTGGCCGAGATAGCACACACGCCCATGCTTATCGAAGAGACAGTTAGTGCCATAGCCGCAACTGTCAAGGCATCGGACAAAACTGAGGCCGTCCTGACAACGATTGGCTCGACTTGGGACGCATCGTTCATACAGGACATCCTCCAGCAACATGGCCAGGCGGTCTCCTTTGGTGAATTCACACCCCGCCCAACCCCGTTTGGCAGCAGTCTCAGCATCCCACCAGACGCAATCGCCGTTGTTGGTATGTCTGGATGCTTCCCCGAGAGCGATACGCTGGACGGGTTCTGGCGCCTCCTGGAAACGGGAACAACCACGCATCAGGAGATCCCCCCTCGCGGTTCTCCGTGGACGACTTCTATGACCACTCTCGCTCCAAGCACAACGCTCTGCTCACACGCCACGGATGCTTCATCAAAAAGCCGGGCGACTTTGACCACCGTCTGTTCAACATCTCGCCACGGGAAGCATTGCAGATGGACCCGGTGCAACGCATGCTGCTCATGACCACATACGAAGCATTGGAGCTGGCCGGCTACGCGCCTGCCAGCGCTGCCGCGCACAAGCAGTCCCCACCGCGGATCGCCACCTACTTCGGCCAGACGACGGACGACTGGAAGACGATCAATGAACAGCAGGGCATCGATACGCATTTCCTGCCAGGTGTCAACCGCGGCTTCGCGCCGGGCCGCCTGTCCCGTTACTTCCAGTGGGCTGGTGGTTTCTACGCTATTGATACCGGTTGTTCCTCGAGCGCCACCGCCCTCTGCCTCGCACGCGATGCCCTCACGGCGGGTGAATGCGACGCGGCGGTGGTTGGCGGCGGCACGCTGCTGACTGCACCCGAGTGGTTCGCCGGCCTGAGCCAGGGCGGCTTCCTGTCGCCGACAGGTGCCTGCAAAACCTACTCCGATCGTGCGGACGGGTACTGTCGCGGCGAGGGCGTCGCCGTCGTTGTGCTTAAGCGTCTGAGCGATGCCGTTCGGAACAAGGATAACGTCCTGGCCGTCATTGCCGGTGCGTCTCGCAACTGCAACGCTGGCGCTGGGTCTATCACGTACCCGGGCGAGGAAGCGCAGGCGGCCCTCTACCGTCGGGTGCTCAGACAGGCGGCAGTGCACCCGCACGACGTGAGCGTGATTGAAATGCACGGCACTGGAACGCAGGCGGGTGACCGTGTCGAGATGCAGGCCGTGCGAAGCGTCTTTGCGTCCCAAGTGGGCCCTCATCGCGCCCAGTCTCTCATCGCCGGCGCGGTCAAGGCCGCTATTGGGCACAGCGAGGCTGCGGCGGGCGTAATATCGCTGATAAAGGCCATTCTGATCCTCCAACGGAACTCCATCCCCCCGCAGCCGGACCAGCCTTTTACGCTGAACCCGCACCTGGTTCCCCTCCTAGGGAGTGAGATCCAGCTCGCCAGCGGCCAAGCATGGCCCCGCAATGGAACGACGCCTCGCTATGTTTTCGTCAATAATTTTGATGCTGCCGGGGGTAACGTGAGCATGATTATCCACAACCCGCCACCCTACGCCCTGCCGGCGCCACCAGGGGTAGACGATCGACAATTTCACGTCGTGGTCACGTCGGGTCGCACAGCAACAGCACTCGAGGCAAATAAGAGTCGCCTACACCAGTACCTCACACAGCATCCAGACACTCGACTATCCGATCTGGCCTATACAACCACTGCTCGGCGCATGCATCATGTTCACAGAGATGCGTACGTGGCGACGTCCACAGCGGAGCTTCTCCGTCAGCTGGAAGGTCCTTCGGGTGTAGCGGATAGTAAGTTGCCACAACCAGTGCCAGCATCTTCGGTGGTCTTTGCCTTCACAGGGCAAGGCAGCCAGTACGTAGGTATGGGTGGTACGTTGTACCGCACCTCGCCCACGCTCCGGGCCCTGCTCGACTCCTACCAGACCCTCTGCAGGGCTCAAGGTCTGGACTGCCAGTTCCTCGACGCAATCCGCGGATTATCCAGCCCAGATGCTGTGCCCAATGAGCGCGATATGCAGGTGGCGACCGTCGCGCTCGAGATCGCCCTCGCTCAGTACTGGCAGTCGCTCGGGCTGCGTCCGACGCTGCTGATCGGGCATAGTCTGGGCGAGTATGCAGCGCTCTGCGTCGCCGGCGTTCTTTCCGTGGCTGACGCGCTGGCCCTGGCTCACGAGCGTGCTACGCTCATCTTCTCGCGGTGCCCCCCGGCCGAGTCGGGCATGCTTGCCGTCGGTCTTCCAGTCAGCACCGTCCAATGGCGGTTGCGGGATTCCGCAGCAACAGCCGGATGCGAAGTCTGCTGTGTCAACGGTCCATCCAGCACCGTCGTCGGTGGTCCCATCCCCGCCATCGAAGCTTTCGAGAATTACCTCAAGTCGGACGACGGCAATGGGAAGGTGGCCGCGACTCGTCTGCGCGTCCCCCACGCATTCCATACCCGCTACATGGACCCTGTGCTGGATGATCTCGAGACCAGCGCAGCCAGAGTATCCTTCCGTCCGCCCACAGTCGCTGTGGCATCGACACTGCTCGGCAGGGGCGTGCAGCCGGGCGAGGAGGGCGTCTTCAACGCGCAGTACATGCGTCGGCACACCCGGGAGCCAGTCGCATTTCTGGATGCTGTGCGCGCCTGCGAAGGAGCAGGGCTCATTCAAGAGCACTTCTTTGTCGTTGAGATCGGGCCCCATCCAACATGTGTTGGTCTCATGGCAGCCTGCCTTGAGCGGGTGAGCGTGACCGCGTACCCTAGTCTGCGCCGCGGGCGCGACGACTGGGAGTCTGTTTCGGAGTGCCTAGCCGCTGCCTATCGGGCACAGCTTCCTGTTGACTGGGCGGAATTCCATAAGGATCATCTCGACAATCTACGCTTGCTGCATGGACTGCCGACGTATGCGTTCGACATGAAGAGCTTTTGGCTCTTGTATAAGAGCAAGAAATCGCTGGATGTGCCCGACGTTGCCGTCCGGGTGAATCCACGACTTGACTCGACATCCTTGCATTCGGTCGTGCAACTGCGCCAGGAAGAAACGCGGCTGCTTGGGACATTTGCCGTGGACTTGAGCCATTGGCGGGCACGTCGTGGACGGTGTGGCCATTTGTCCGGCTAGCATCTTTATTGACATGGCGTACGCAGCCGCGTCATATCTCGAAAGAGAGAGACGCAACATTGCTGTTCCAAGCCCGTCATCTACCACCTACGAACTGGCTGACCTGCGCATGCAAACCCCTTTGGTCCTCCGCGAGTCAGATACACAGGTACCGCGCGTTGAGGTGGAGGCGGTTCTTGACCAGTCCACTGAAGTCGTCACCATCCGCTTCTTGTCCCGCAAGGAGGGATCCTCGGTGGTCGAGCACGGGTCCTGCGTGGTTCGGCTCTCTCAGTCGGACACCCTACACATGCAGTCCTGGTCCCGGATGCAGCCCTTGGTCAAGGCGCGCGTGCAGAGTCTGCACGACGCAGTCCGGCCTAGAGAAGTCCACGCAATGGACCGCCGGCTATTCTACGAGATCTTCTCCGAGATCGTCGATTACTCGGCGCCCTACCACGCGGTGGAGGAGGCCACCGTGGCAGGGGATTTCCGCGACGCGTCCATCATCCTCTCACCAACGACCGCCAAGGAGTTGGGCGACTTCGCCTGCAACCCCGTCGCCGTTGACGCCATGATTCATGTCGCTGGCTTCCTACTCAACGCGGACGTGAAAAAGCCGAAGAACGACGTCCACATTGCGAATCACATCGGCTCCCTGCGCATCCTTGGCGATCTCTCCTCAAACAAGCCGTACACGGCGTACGCCACCATTCGACAGCAGGATGCCAAAGCCGGAACCAGCCTGTGCGATGTGTATGTCATTGATCGTGAAGACCGGCTGGTGGCGCTCTGCACCGATATCTGCTTCAAAAAGCTCGATCGGGACTTTTTTGCGTTGCTGACGGGGTCTACTCGCGCGCAGCAATTCAAACCGCGACCTATCGACAGTGCAAAGGAGGACTCGCAAGCACCGTTGAGACGAGCAGCCGACTCCAGTAGCTCTTCAGGGATATCCACTCCCGCCTCATCACTGTCACCGTCGTCGTCTCAAAGCAGCGTCTCGGACGCCGTTAATCTCGCGGCGGAGCTCCTCGAAGTGGTGGCGGCACGAAGCGGCATCAGCGTTGCTGAATTGAAGGGCTCAACAGGCACGGCGGCAACATTCGCGGAGATGGGCGTCGACTCGCAGATGAGCATCGCCATCCTGGCTGATTTCCACAAGGCCACAGGGGTTGAACTGCCGGCGGCGTTCTTCACTAATTTCCCCACCCCGGCCGCCGTGGAGAAGGAACTGGGCAGTTCGCAACCGGTGGCGGATTTATCTGATCGTGTTCATGAACAAACTGTTCCGATGGAGCGATCCAATCTGCCCGAAAATCACAAGAGCAAGACGGCAAGCCAGCAGCTCTTTGCATTGGTAGCCCATGAGCTCGGCCTCGAAGATCGCGACCTCACGCCCTCGACCACCTTTGAGTCCATTGGTATGGACTCGATGCTCAGCATTGAAATTACGGCCGCGTTTCAGCACGAGACCCAAATCGAGCGGCCGCCTTCTTTACCGATCACCGAACAGTAGCAGCAGCCCAGGAGGCCCTGGACGGGCCACTAGAAACGCAGACACCAGCGCCAAAAGAGCAGCCACTGAGCCAGTCGCCTACCACTGCAGCTGCAAACACGCACACGACAGCCAACGCATCACGACAGCAGAAGATAGACACCGCCGTGTCCCGCGCGGTCCTGATCCAAGGCCAGTCCCGCTCCCGCGCAGCCCCGTTGTTCTTCACCACCGACGGCTCTGGCACAGTCGAGTCATACATCCACCTCAAGCCCCTCCCCTCAGGCCGACGCATCTACGCACTCGAGTCCCCCTTCCTCAACAGCCCAGAGGCCTTCGACCTCTCCATCCCCGAAATGGCCACCATCTTCCTCCGCACCATCCGGCGCATCCAACCGCAAGGCCCATACCTCATCGGCGGCTGGTCCGCAGGCTCCATGTACGCGTACGAGGTCGCGCACCGCCTCACAACGCAGGGGGAGACCATTGCCGCGCTGATCATCCTCGACATGCGCGCCCCCTCGCTCATCCCCACCGCCATCGTCACAGAGGACTTTGTCGATAAACTCGGCACCTTCGAGGGGATCAACCGCGCCCGCGATCTGCCGGAGGATTTGACCGTCAAGGAGAGGACGCATCTCCTAGCGACCTGCCGCGCACTGTCGCGGTACGACGCGCCGGCGTTCCCCGTCGACGGGCAACCAGCGCACATCGCCGTGGTCTGGGCACGTCTCGGTCTCGATAACAGGGATGATGCGCCCATAGCTGCCATGGGTCGTCCCGGGCTGGATATCGGGAAGCGTTTGGAGGAGATGGACCTGCAGGATTTTGAACGGTATTTTAATTCGTGGTTCTATGGGAGGAGACTGCAGTTTGGGACCAACGGGTGGGAGACGCTTCTGGGGGATCATATCGAGGTGCATACTGTTGATGGAGGTTAGTCTCACATCTATTGAACAGGTCATGGCTGATACTAACGCTTGCAGATCACTTTTTGATGATGGCTCCGCCGTTTTCTGAGGCTGTTGGGGCGATTGTTGTCGATACTGTAATGCAAGCCGTGGCTGAGAGTGGGCTGTAAATGATGTGAGGTGACAAATCTTTCTAAATTTTCAGTTGTGTTTCTATAGTAGAATGTTGAACTTAATGACTCGGTAATCCAGTATCTCTACATACACACTTGCTGAATCACACTTGCTTATCCCTTGTCCAGTGGCTAGGTAATGGAGGCGAGAAATATATCTCCGCTAAAGGCTGACCCTCCGCCTAACCTCATGCAAATTAAGAACAAAAGCAATCAAGTATTGACTAGTCTAGTCTTAGCCTTTGGATAGGGGCATTTCTTCATTATGGTTCTATCATCCTCGGTCTCTAGCTAACTAGTCCGTAGTTAGTTAGTTCTATGTGCTAAGACATACCACCTGCCTAACTCGTGCAAACGTCCGGGAGTTGTCTATCATTGGATCTCGCTGCAATCTTAGGCCATCGGCCCTCATTCTTACAACGCATCTATAATAGAGGGTGAATTTCTCCTCATCACTCCTGTTCCAGTGCATCAGGGGTGAGAACCACCAAGTCACAATGCAGTTCAGCAACACCGGTCAGGGCCCACTGCAAGTGCCAGGATTCAACGGTATTCCCCTGGACTATCAGCTACCGCGAGAAGACCGGTTCGCCCATGGCTTCGTAGAATTTCGGCACACGCCGCGTCTGACCGCCCGAGAGGTCGCCATGCTGCGAGTGATGGAAGCCGTCACTGAGGAAGCCAGATGGGACGAAGCGGTGCTGCAGCCGGATGAGTCGCGGCTGGCGCAGTGGCATGAGAATGCGCAGAAAACTGAAGGATTCCTGATCAGTCCAGCCGCCTGGGACTGGTGCATCGCTGAACTAAGGGACAAAGCGATGGCATGGCGCACGAGTGGCCGAATGCTGTTGCTGAATACTTCATCGGCCGTCTGCGTGGCAGAAGATGTTACACTGGCGTCGAGTTTCCAGCGATTGATTGCACGGCTCGCCCCTGGCCAGACGTCGCGTGCTAAACCATCACCCGAGTCACCGGATTATCTTCATTTGGTCGATCCCTTTTTGTATCCCCTTGTCTACGGACAGACTTGGCTCTTAGTCAGCGGAGGCCATGTTCCTGTAACGATCTCTTGCCAGGAGGCCCCGGTCCCTGCACATCCCGTTGATCAAATGCGCCGACGGCTGCGTATCAACCCGCGGACCGGACACCCGAACTGGTCCAGACGTAGCGGTGCGGTTGAGAGCTGCTGGTCAAACCATTTCCAGCGGCTTCCTTGCGAAGTGAAGTTCTCCTCCGATGGCACAAAGGACGTCTGCATCACCTCCTATATCAACAACCTGCATCCCCAGCATCACCGGGACCTGTACGCATTGCTGGAAAAGCTCATTGCTCAGGCCATTCCGACCTGGAACGACGTACTGTTCAAGGGGACGCATGGTCGGACTCCGCCGCGCATCCTCACCTATGGCTTTGAAACCCACAATGGGGAGTACCCGCCATGGTTCGACAGGGTGAAGACGCCCAACACAATGTACCGCCACTATAAAGTAGCACATACCGAGGAGCAGTGGCAGGAAGTCTGCGATCTGGTACGACCGTATTTGGCTCTGCCAGAACCACCAGTCTGGAAGCAAGCATACCCGCGCAGGCCGGACGAGCCAGAGGACTGGTTGGCCGTCATGACGCCTGACAATCCAACGGACGCGAAAGTGGTCCGTCGAGCAGCCCTCCGGAAACATGGTCGTCTTTGGACCTTTGACCATCCCGAGCCGGGCCAATCCTTCTCATAAGAACAGTGGAAAGCCGGGAAGTACACCGGTCGGGCGATCATACCACAGGCCCGAGGGCGATTCCCAGACCCCGAACACCACGGGTCCGCCTCGATCAACTTGGCAGAACAGTTCCAGGAAGACGGCCTGCAGGTGGTCGTCCAGGTATCGCGGATCGACCTCACGCCCGACAACCCCACGTACGCAGGAGAGTCGATGTTCCGCGTCGAAGGACTGCTCAACGAGCACGTTGCCGCCAACACGGTGTACTGTGTCGACGAGGAGAATGTGACCGAAGCTCAGTTCACTTTTCAGCATGAGGACAAGATCCACTCACACGAGTACGACCATTCAAACAGTCATGTCATGTCATCGATTTTGGATTTGCCAGATTGGGACTACCTTGAAGATCCGCTTCTGCCTGCGGTGCACACTCTGGGATCCGTGCCTGCCCGGAGAGGCCGACTGCTCAGCTGGCCAAACACCCTACGATCCAAGGCCGATAGCTTCACCTTACAAGATCCCCGGCGCGCTGGCCACCGGACGTTAATCAAGCTGTGGCTCGTGGACCCTCACTACCGCATCTGCTCAACCCGCAATGTACCTCCGCAGCAGCATGACTGGTGGGCCGAGGCGGCGCGGAAGGCTGCTGGGTTGGATGCGCGACTCCCAGCAGAACTTGTGCTGCTGATTATTGATCAGACTGAGTCGTGGCCCATGTCCATGGCCGATGCACTGGACTTGCGGGAGGAGTTTCGCCAGGAACAGGCGCGCACATACCAGGCTGTCCATGACGCTGCTGGACATCATGTCGTGGGGGATCTGGACGCGATACGAGACTTTATAGCACACGGCGAGTCTCCATAGTTGTGGGAGAACCTGAGAGTGGACAAACAGCGGCTCGAATGTATCATTTACATTGTGTGTAGTAATGTCTTGCATGCCATAATTAAGATCACTCCTTATTTAATACACACTTTATCGTTTTCTCTAAGGAACCATACAAACCGACCAACTGTGCGCGTCGACCCCCTTAATATATGGTTGGAAGAGAAGTGTGCATCTGTTTTTGTTCTCTCCATGTTAAATTCTGACTAGACTATCACAATAATAAATAACAAAACACAACAATTGAAATGGTGTCAAGTGTTGACTATAAACTGCAGAACTACCCGTGCAGTAAGCTTGCGACGGATAAAATCACTGGGCCAGAGTCATCCAGCTCTGTCTACCTAGTACGAACTTTCATAGTCCTTGTCGTAATCGATCTTATCGTTGCAGGGAAAATAGTAAGGGACATAATCGTGGCTTGACGACCCTCTATAAGTCCAATAGTTCTCACGGGCTTCCCAAAAGCGGCACATGGGGATATCGACGTATCCAGGGGCGCTGACATCCGACTGGCCAATACTAGCAAAGGTGTCGCTGTAGTCGCTGCTGTCCCATATGCCCTGAGTCTCGTTAACATTCTTTCCGTTGGCGTTGTAGGTATTGACGGCACTGCCTAGTGTCAGTAGGATTGGTCCAAGAATGCATGCGCGAACCACAGACAAGAAGGGAAGCGTACCCAGAAACTATGTCTCCGATCGTGATCTGACCCCAGGCTTTACCATCAAGATGTTCGAGGCCTGGAGGTGCAGGAAACGGGTTGCAGTAATGACCCAGGCCTTCGTGGGGGCTGTCGATACAGTTGTCCGAGGGTTTCGTAGCAGTCACAAGATAGTACATTCGATCATTAAGGCACACCCGCGATCTGGCGTAGTTTGCCAGAGCACGAGAGCCAAACCCTTCCGGATTCGTGTCTTTTGACTCCTGGTCCAGGGCATCCGCGCAATTCATCGTCGAGTCAATGACACTAGACGGACGGTTAGTGAGGGGAATCTTGAGTTGGTTTCATAACTGCGCAGACTGACAAAGGGTTTATATCGCCGAGTGCGAGACGCCAGGCCTGTGGGATGAGCATAGCATAGAGCGATCTTTCTATTGAGGGCTGGAGGTCGGTTATGTTCATTAACTGGGTATAGTTAGGAAGAAGAAACGTCCCCCCGGAGATCATTTTCCCCAATCGCTGTATTCCTTCATCGGTTCCGGAGAACAGGCTGGACTGAATCTTGGTCGTGGCATTATCCCAAGCTTTGATCACATCCACGACCTGCTCCTTGAGTTCCTCGCTGACGACATAGTCCGCTGGATTACTATATCCGATGAAATGTGTTAGCTCTTTATGAACGCCAAACAAATCTGTGTTGAGAGGGATACGCGTACTCGTCGACAAGGTCCTTTATGCTTTCAAAAGCGGAGTCGGCCATGTCATCAGCGTACTCTTGCGCACTTGAGAAGACTTCGTTCGCTTGCTGGTCCTCAATCTTTTCCATGACTGAACAGGTGCTGTTAGCTGTGTGGCATGGGCCAACTTCTAGATTAGTAGCTTACCCTTTTCCCACATCCGTGAGGACAAAGATCCATATCCCATGCCGAGGAGATTGTACAAAATGGTTCCTAAAGTAATGCCTTCATCTGGCAGTGGAGCGAACGTGTCTGCGAAGGTATCCATCTGGGTCTCAATCACTCCAAATGCGCCTTGCAATGCGTCGTGCAAGTTCCAGAGGACCTAGGGTAAACTCCCGCGTCAGCCGCAACGCCACGCCCTGAGCTCTGGTGGATGTAACTGACCGCGTCAAGTCTCTTAAACGAATTGAGAATGTACTTTCCTGCCGGGGTTTTGATCCCGTCTGCGGCGCATTGAAGTTCTGAATCCTCCCCGCAGCCGTTTCCCTCGGCATAAATCTCACAATGCATGCCGTCCGGACCACCAAAAAACCGTGATGAAACCTAAGAGGGTATGATGTGAGTGTCTGCATCGATGTAGAGTGCGGTCCTGGAGTACTCACAAACTGGGAAAAGCTGATGCGGTCCTCGTCATCGGGTATGGGGTGGTCTCTATAGTCAACCCAGCTGGCCACCGCGTCGTTCCAGGCGTCGCTCGCCAACGACCCATCCCAGAGAATTCCAGCGTGTTTGCCCTCCTTGAACTTGTCATCAGCGCAATCTTCGTTCATCCACGCGGGGTTGGATGACCCGGTGCTTCCCGGCTGCGCCGGCAGCTTAGGGTCGAGAATCTGCTGGCTGTCATCGCCGATATTGTCACCTCCGCCGCAAGTGTTGAACCAGGTCTCGGCCTCATTGGTGAATGTGCCTTTGATGGCATGCATGTCGGCTCGGTTATCGCCCTGGAAATCGGGATAGTACATACAGCTCCCGGCTCTGTTGCCTTGATAGAGCTTTCCCTGAGGAACCCACTCATAGCGGCTGCCTTTGACGTCTTTGGGGCCATTGTTATACCAGACAGAACCATCACCGGAGAATTTGTCTATAAAGATAAGATCGGCTTTTCCGTCGCCATTGACGTCTGCCCACCGCAGATTCGCACGGTCCTTCTGTTCGGAGTATTTGAACTGGTCAATATAATCCCACCCATTGGCATCATTGTGGAGCCAACCCCAAGTTCGGCCATCTTTCTCAATGCACAGGTAGTCTGCCTTGCCATTCCCCGAGACATCCGCAAACTGGACAGGGAGATCAAAGATGCCGATGCCCCGTTTCTCGGGACAGTAGAGATCGGGTGCTGGGTTTGCGTTATAGTCCCAGTTCCAGGTCCCGGTCTCTTTGTATGTGTTCCTCCACAATTGAACTCGATTCTGATTGTCCGGATCAACCCATATGATGTCGCAGGCTCCGTCACCATCCCAGTCAGCAAGATGTAAGTCACGGCGGTCTAGCATCCGGCCGAATGTTGAAGGGTCGAAAATCACTTCAGATGCATCCCAGAAGGACGGACCGCCATCAACCACCGTATCCATTCCCCGGTTGGGGTAGAGAGTCATGCGTCCTTTGGAGTGCGTCCAGACATAGTCATCCATGCCGTTTGTATGACCTTTCATGTTGCAGTATTTGTTCCCATCAGCCTTGAGCTTCGTGGATCCCGACCCTGTGTTCTTCCAGACGTGCATGGCAAACTTGTGGCGACTGTTGTCATCCTCTTTGCTATGTTCAAGATAGACATAATCTTGACGGCCAAGGAGGCCGAAGTCTTCGGGCTCACCGTAGATCCTGGCGAAATGGATTCGTTCCCGCACGTTGTCGACGCCCATCCCATTGTAAGTTGGACCGGAATTGGTGCCCTGCCAAAAGCCCTGCCGCCAAGCTATATTCAGACCGTTGCCGTCAGTTCCCTGCTGGCAGCTCCTTGAATTGCTGTACATGTAGGCTTCGCCAGTGTCGCCTATCCACACCCAGTCGTCTCGGCCCTAGCAAGAGGTTAGTTCCATGTCATGGCTGGTATCTGAGTGGTTGGGGTTCTGAGGCACCGCAGGGCTTGGAGAAAATGGCCAAGTCGTGTTGACTTACATCGCCGTTAATGTCTTCCAACCGCACACCGGTTAGGTTTCCCATATCCTTGCCTGAAAACCGTTGACCGAGTCCCTGCCAGTACGCGGGCTTGTCCTCTATCCAGCCATTGCGCCAGCAGGTCATATCACCAGCCGCGTTAAAAACACAGTAATCCGCACGGCCATCCCCATCAACATCTCCCAGTCGGACTTGGGCCTGCGGGTAGCCATTAACGGCGTCTTTGATTTGACCAATATCTTTAAATGAAGGCGGCTTTCCGCTGCCGATATCGCCGTCCCCTTGGTTGATACTCGCGTAAGCATCACCCTCCGGGCCAATGCAGACAAAGTCATCCAGTCCGTCAGCATTGATGTCAATGAAATTCACTCCTCGGGGAATACAGGCAATGGAGACACTCATGTCCGCAATCTTGGTGAAAAGATTGGCGCCATCACCCGTGTTGCGCCATACTCCGTACCACTGGGACCCATCGTCTCTTTCATACCAACCCACAAAGTCATCACGCTCCCTGGCAAAGAGACGCGCGAAGAACCATTGGTTCCGGTCGTAGTCGCTTTCCACCGTCAGTACCACCCCCATGGGGTCGCTGTCATGGCGGTAGATCCCGTCGTCTTCGCCGCTGCCCCTTTGCGTGAGACCGCCGGCGTAGACTCCATCCCCGTACTGTTTATCGCACTGAAGACCCGTATTGCCGGGCGTCACCACATAAGAACCACCGGGTTTCTTGAGCAAGGTATCTTCGAAAGCGGTGGAAATAGCCTGATACCAGACCGCAGCCATTTTCGGGTAGCCGATGTCGTTCGGATGTATGTCGTCGTAGTAGTCCGTGCTGAGGTCCAGCCACCCGCTTCCCTCGTTAGGGGCAGGAGGATCCATATCAGCGAGCATGATACTCCTCCCCTCGCCCCGTAAGGCATTGACCAGTGTGCGGTACTGGGCGTTGACGGCCGGGCGGTTCGCCTCTCCGGTGTGGTCTGCGCAGGGGATGAGAGTGGACAGGATGACGGTCACGCCGTTGATCGACTGGAAGAGGTCCTCAATGAGTACTCTCATCCGCTCGCCGGCATTGGCGATATCACGGTTCTGGAGACAGTCGTTGGTGCCTGCGTTGATCAAGACCACATTGGGGTTGTATCTGTATGAGCCTCTGGCGGCAGTGTGCACCTGGTCGATGACATCTCCCGGATGGGCTTCCACGTCCTGGCAACATGTTAGTGTTCCGCTCCCGCCGATAGCAGTAGCTCATGTCCTGAGCACGTACATTGTCCGCCATGTTTCCGTTATGCTTGGTCCCAACCATATCGACATTGTATCCTTCAAACCGAAGTTTATCTCGCAGGGGTTTCCGGTAACTGTGGATGTCAGAATTGTCTTTTATTTTTCTTTGTATGGTTGACAGGCACCAATCGGAGGAGGACATCAGGATCATACCCATTCCCAGTCGACGAGCCAATGCCCCATGTAATAGAGGCACCAAGGCATAATATTCTCAAATCGGGCTTGTCATCCCGAGTATGGAGAGTCGGGGTTAGATATGAGCCGTGTGATGTCGAAGGCAGTTCGCTAACCGCATTTGGGGTGGGATTGGAGGCAACAGTGGCTGCCCACACCCAAATGCCACACAGCACGAGCGCAAGGTAATTGAACCCCCGAGCCATGGCTATCTGGAGAACTGGACTGACACTCAAACCTGATGCCTTTTGAGAGCTCCAGGCAGGGTGGCGGGCACCGCTCCTTTATGCGAGATATCTACTCGAGTAGAGAGTTTGCTAAATCCCGTAGCTCATCCTGATCCTTTAGCACTAATCTCCTTAATCCAGTAAAGTAGGCTATCTATAGCCCAGATGCGCCGAGACAAGTCTCCGAAATGCAAGGCACAGATCAATCTATACGGGATGACCAATGGTAGGGCCCTGTTTTAGCTTGTCACCGGTTTGCATGACTGTTTAATCTATTCTTAAAGTACATACCACTATAACTATGATATGTACTCCCTAGACCAAGGAGTACATCACTTGGACACCTTTCAGTCTAGCAGTATTGAATTTTAATATCTATCTCGTTATCATGTTGGGATTGCAGCCAATCAAATCTGTAGCATCTCCATCGTAGTCAAGGTAGAATCCAGCATCCTTTGCGCTTGAAGGCTGAGGAGCTGTCACGGGGCCATACCACTGCGGTGGTACTGACTCGATTCCGGCAAGCCCTGATCCATAGCGTGTATGTATCCTGCGTTGGGTTAATCTCGCTGCTAGTTTTACTGTCAGGCGTACTATCAGGCGTACGGACAAGCTCGCCCCTAAGGTCTAGGCATTGAGGCATTGCTTCAGGCCCCCAGCGTTACATTCCGTCTGGCTTGGCAGGCTGCTCGATTGGTGGGTTACAGCGTCTTCTTGTGATTAATTTGAACGAATATCTTGGCAGCCGCTAACCTGTAAAGCCGACTAATATCTGCTAACCTATAACCGACCCTGGATAGGTGGAAGGGTCGGCTAGAGGCCCTGATTAGGCGATCTGGGCTGGCGGAGTAAAGTGGATCCCTCGGTTGCATGAGAATCTCGCTCATTTCAGGGACACAGCTCGGCGGGTGTCGAAAAAAGGTCCGTGGGTGTCGGCGGAAGCTCACCATGACTTTAACACCTATTTGTCAGATTGCAGGTACTATTATAATATGATTATGCTGGTAATCTAAGTATATAGAGGTTAAACTAGGATATATTTATGCTATGTCCATGAATATATATATTTTTCTATATAGGGAGTAATAAGACTAGAAGTTATATATATTCTAGTTAAACTAGACTTAATTATAAATAGTAATATAGGTGAGTATAAAATATATAATCTAGTACTAAAGATATAGTGCTTTAATATACCTCCCTAGCTAAGAATTAGTAAGAATTAGCTATACCTACTAATAGGTACTATCTTTAGTTTATAACTACTACCTTCCTAATTTAGTTATATATTAAGGGTATCTAGGTCCTTTAAACCTAGTATCTTAATAAATTTTTAGTATTTTTTACTATATAGAGGCTTAGTTAGGCTATCTACTAGTATCTAATTAGTTAGAACCTACTAGAATTGCATAACCGATCCGCTAAAATCAAATCCGACCCTCACCGAACCCGCGGTGGTGCGGGTTCGGTGCCTAGCCTAGGGAACCGCAGTGGTTGCGGTTTCCCTACTATAGGACCTCTCAGGGTTTGGTTAAAACCATTAGTTACGGTTTTTGCAGTTTTATTAGTTTAGTTTAACCAACCCACACTATTTTGCTTAGTAATCACTAATTTTAAGGATTTCTCTAGAAATATTAATATTACTAGATAGCCTAGTATCTAGTCTATCTAAATATGAAATATCGATTCAAAATATCTAGTGGTTGGTGAGATATAAGGGAATAATTATCTCTGTTCATCTCTATCAGAGGTTAGTACAAAGGTAGTGTGTGGATATATATATATAGTGCCAACCTTCGACAAACTCTTGTAAACTCAGGAGCCAGAGTAATCCACTGGACAGGGTTATCAGTGGCTCTTCAGAGATAGAGTATGGACAGGACGGGTATTACTTTGTCCGAACTGGAGAAGTGAGCTTCAGAGGGCAGGCCCAGGCTGTGGCGACGAAGCTCCAGCAGCTTGGTAAACTGGACACCGACGCCATCGATGAGTTGACTGTCCCTCAGGCAACTGAGATCCGTCCCTACGCCGGCTTTTTATGGGGGACAAGCTGTCGCAGTAGAGCTGCTCGTCTACGGTCTATTGGATGGTCACCTCAGGAGACAAACTGGAAAGCTCTTATGGATGAGACTGTCTGACTGGCAAGGTTGTTAAGCCACTGGGAACACTATAATCTTGACTAGTGCCTTGAATCTAAATAGGTAGATAGAAACCATGCCTGAGAGGCTGCCATTACCATATTATTGTCTACTCGAATTCTTTGAAGATTTAGAAAAAGGTCTGTAGTTAATAAGACGAAAAATGCTGGTTTGAATTGAGATAGTAGACAATACAATGGGGTTCACCACCTTAAGTGTTTAGTACTCAGTTCGAACCTCAGGATCAACATTATGCAAGACTGCAGTAATCTCTGCCCACACCTTCTCCCTCACAACCGCCGCCTCGGGGCTGGTGACAATATTGCCAGGGCTAAAACACATATCAGCGGCGCGAACTATCAGTTCTTGAACACAAGGGATGACTTACTCTGCGATAACCTGATTCTCCAACCACTTCCCATGAGTCTCCACTCCCTGGGTTGCTGCATGCAGCAATGTTTTGCTGCCCTCTTCCACCGTCCTAGCAATCAAAGCTTGGATCAGCTTCAGGATCCACGGCGCCTTCTCCCTAGTCAGGAGATCCGATTTGCAGAATCCCGGCGTCACGGCATTGACAATCACAAGGGGGTTTCCGGACTCATCACGAGGCACAAGTCGAGCTATTTCGATGGTAATGAAGAGATCCATGAGCTTAGTGACACCGTAGCGCTCGGTAGCTCCGCCTGCAGCCTGGGATGTCTTCCACTGCGCCTGGTCATTCAAGATGGAAAGAATGTGCTTCTCATTCCGCTCGGGAAATTTGATTGCCTTGTGGATATCGCTCGTAAGAACGGTCAGATGCGGTTGTGCTGATGGATCTCGCTCTTTTGTTCGCAGCAGTAGCGGCAAAAGCTCCAGACTGAGGAGCGCGGTCGATAAAACATTGACCTGGATTCCTCTCTCCCACCCATCACGGGTAACAGCGTACTCGACCGACGCAATTCCTGCATTCATGATAGCCATGTCCAGTCGGCCGCCCTCTATGACAACGTGTTTGCGAACTCGAGCTGCGAAGGCTTGGACGCTAGCAAATGATTCGAGATCGATCGGCCATACAAGGACCTTTCCCTTGTCGGTGCAGCCGGTGCTTGCTTCGATGTTGGCTTTGGCCTCTTCACCCTTGCTCAGGGTCCGAACGCCCAAAATGACTGTACCGGCGCCCAGGGCGAGCGCATGTCTGGCAGCTTCCCGACCGAGGCCGGTGTTCGCACCGGTGATGAGGATAGTCTTCCCCTGGATAACCGAGGGGGATGGTAAAGTCAGTCTGGTGAATAGAAGGCCGACTAAACCACTCATGTTGGTTTGTGTCTTTGGTATCGAGCAGAGGATTGAAATCTAGTAAGCTCTTAGGAATGTTGTTTATTTCAGGTACGGGGACCTGGCTGAACACCTTGCATCATGAGAACATTCTCAGGTGAGGACTGAAATTGACCGACTAACCAGATAGCAGCCATTATCGCCCGATTTCTTTGTTTCTTTTTCTGTCTCCTGATTCAGGACAGGACTTCCAGAGTCGGATGGAAGTCAGGCCGAGTCATCCAGACAAACTACGGAGATAAGCCGTATTTAATTCCAGACGTGCATGCCCCCAATCTATGGACATATACTATTGGAGGTGCGCCTTAGCCTGCAGGCCTTAGGTAGGTATAGTATTACTATCTAGATGATAAAAATAAAGTCCACTTTGTACATTCAGTCCGCTGTAGATGCACTCTTATAAGCAAAGCAGCTTCATCCTCCCAGCCAGCCAGACATAGTGCTATGCTGACTATCTCCGCTATAACTCCGCAGTCAGCTTACCCTCTCAGCCGTGTATATTAACCATGATCACCCAGATATCTTTAATTGTTCCTCATTGTCGAATTCTTGCAGAAATCAATAGCTATAGTAATCTAATATACCCCGCCGACAGCCAACATGCATCTCATCCTCACCGGCGCAACAGGCCTAGTCGGCTCCGGTGTCCTCGACGCCATGCTCGCAATGAAAGAAGTCACCAAAATCTCCATCCTAAGCCGACGACCAGTCCAAATGGCCGAGGACGCCCAAGATCCCCGAGTGAAGGTCATCATCCACCAGGACTTTGAAACCTACGACCCAACGGTCCTCTCCCAGCTCCAGGGGGCAACAGGCTGCGTATGGGCTCTGGGTATCAGCCAAACAAAAGTCGACAAAGAGTACGTCCACACATACTTATCAGTCCAAAAATACTGACAAGAAAGCGAATACCTCAAAATCACCAAAACCTACGCCCTCGAAGCCGCAAAAGCCTTCCAGTCTCTCCCCTCGCCAACCCAATCCTTTCATTTCGTCTACGTCTCCGGCGCAGGCGCCACCACGAAACCCGGCTTCTTCGCTTCGCTCTTCGCCCGCGTCAAGGGCGAGACCGAAGTGGAACTCGCGCAGCTGCGTCGCCAGTCCCCGCTGTTTAGGGCCAGTTCCGTCCGTCCTGCATTTGTCGACTGCGCACACCACGGCGCGATCAAAAAGTATCTCCCTCCGCGGCCGGCCTACGAGACCCTCCTCCGGCCCTTGGGGCCTGTAATGCGGGGGATGGCGCCGGGGCTCTGTAGTCCGACGGAGCATCTGGGGAGGTTCTTGACGGAGATGGCGATGGGGAGGTATGAGGATCGGTTGGTTGGGGGGAAGGATGTGCAGATGGTAGGGGAGATGCCCATACTAGAGAACACGGCGTTCCGGCGGTTAGCTGGGTTGAGTTCATGAAATTGAATTGACGGAGTACTGTGGAGGAGGGCAATTGTACATTAGCTAGGATCTCTTTAGGAATGGAGACTATTCTGCTTGAGGAAATCTCTCCTGAAAAGTTCCTAAAAATGAGCTCACAACGTGACCGACCCGGGTGTGCTTTGTTATCATCGGTCCAATCGACTCAAGCAATTGCTTTCTGAGTCTTCCACCCTCATTGATGGAAAAATATATCCTGCATGGGAATCCTGACCATACCAAGCCTTGATGATGAGCTCCGGCGGAGACTTATTCCAGCCGCTTTCAGGAACGAACAGAAGTATATCTTCTGTAAGATGGACCTGAACTACTCTTTCAGTACCTTTCAACCGTGCATCATTTGAACATGAGACCACTTCCTCTGCTGTACTCATCGACCTTTCTATTTTAGAAGTGTTGATAAGTCTGCTCTATTACTGTGTCTGGATGAGTGCTGTAAAGGAATACGTCCTGTATACCTAGTCTCAGCCACTGTCACCTAACTTCTGTTATTGAGAGCTGAAGACGCCTTCCAAGGTCCCTCACTATCCGCCGAGCTGCCTTCTGGCCACCTCCCTAAGGGCATAATTAGCATGTGTAATGCATAACATAAAGGTCATATTGTATCTGCGTCTCTGTCCCTTCTCATGCTTATGCAAAGATTCAAAATTAACAGGCTGCGCTCATTGATGCAAAGATATTCAACCAGTCCATCACAAAGCGACCTCGTCTATATACAAGTCTTGTCTCTAATCTATGCGCAACCTTATATCAAACCAACTCCCAACGCCAAACGTCCATCGCTGCTATGCGTATGCTCAGTGATGCAATGCACTACCTCTCAACCTCCTGGACAGCTCTCTCCAAGTCCCGAATCTTCCTGCGCCCAAACCGAAACTTGTGCCTTAGATTCTTCTGCTTGATCAGCAGCGCCCGCTTGCGTCGTCGAGGCGGATAGTTGATCGGACTCTCTCCGCCGGTGAAGATCGCTAGGTCGTAGATAAATGCACCGAACAGTCCGCCGGTGATATCCGCAGCCCAGGGTCCCCAGATCCACCAGGCATGTTGTTCGCGGAAGAGCTGGCCGCCCCAGCCGGCCATGAGGGCTACCAGTCTGGGACCAAAGTCTCGGGCGCCGTTGAAGCATCTGCGTCGTCAGCACAAGATCAACTCAAGATATTGGAAATGCTCACCCTCCAGTGTTATACCCCAACGCGAGAACGAGCACGCTGATCAAGATCCCCAGGATGAAAGCCTGCATGCCCGCCCCCGGAGGAGCATTGGTATCGTCTCCCAGCGCCATGATCGTGCCGACCAGGACCGCCGTGCCCACGAACTCATTGAAGAACGCGGTCACAGGGTGCACAAAGTCCTTGGGAGCGGTAAGCAGCGCCTGCTTCGCCAGCGACTGGTTCTGCGCGACATGGTTCGTCAGCGCCGAGTCGACGATGGCGTCGTGGTACAGCGCGTACGCGATCCCGCCTGCCGTGATGCCGCCGACGATCTGCGCGGCGACGTACATCACGCACTTCTTTGCGGGGAACCCGCGCCACACGGACAAGCTGATTGTAATCGCCGGGTTCAGATGCCCACCGGATACCCCGCCCGCCATGTAGATGGCAATCATGAAGCCGAACCCCCACGCCGGCGCGAGGGATGGAAACGACCCCGCCTGGTTCTGCGAGGTGTATGTCTGCAGGCCCGCGCAGAGACCCAGCGTCATTGCGATCGTCGTGCCCAGCCACTCGGCCAGCGGTTCGCGGAACATGTGTCTGATCTTCCCCCAATTGTTGAAGAAGCCGTGTTCATCCGGTTGGGCGACTCTGGCCTCCGGGGTGCTCGTTTTCCGCTTTGAGCTCGTCATTGTGGTGCGGGTGGTCGGTGGGTGGCTCGTCGCCTGCTGGAATCTGGTCTTGGTGGGCGTTGGGTCGTTTGTCCGTGGCTTCTTCTGTGTCTTGATTCTCGCCGTTCTTCATTCCCGGCCGGAAGACGTGAGGCAGCGGTTGTGCCAGGCTCCAGACTGGGGCGTTTTGTGGCTGGCCGTATTGGGGGTTGTAATGCATGTAATCGGGATGCAGATAGACGCTGCCCTGGTATGGCGGGGGGGGCTTTTGAGCCCGCTAGGGAAAGTTGCTGGGTAGCATTAGGGATTTTCGCATGGTCCTGGGACGGCTGCTGTATTGTTTCATCGGATTGGCAGTTGTGAGATTGGGCTCCTGCTGATGTTAGACAACCAGTGGTGATAAAGGGTAGACATACGGTTGATACCAGGCAATTGGGAACCGTTTTCGTCCGCCATGGGAACACTCTTAGAAGCGACGGGAAACAAAGCGCTAAGATACGAAAAAAGCGCAATTGACTTGACGCGTATGGGCCTCAATTTATATAGCCCGGAGATTTGAGGTTATTGTATGCTGAGTCAGGCCTGGGCAGGAATCGGAGCCATTACATCACGACCATACAAACCTGGCAGTGGTGTGGCACGTCGCCACTAGATCTCAAATCTGACCAATTCTGGCCAAGGAATGGATCAGAAGTAAAGAATTTATCAATAGCAAGGTTTAGTTCTAGGCTCGTTGCTCCTGCTGCTATGACCCATGAGTGACTACTTCCAGGCTAAGCCCATGAGCCTATGCTACTCAAGATATGCATCAGGAACTGCTCCCAGCCAATCATTGGCTTCATACCAGCTTGATGTCATGTCGAAAAATTCATCTGAAAACAGAACATGACGGTCCTCATTCGGCATCTGCCATAGCCCAAAATCAATGCCCGGAGTGCTGTCATTGGCGGCATCTTCTATTTCGGGGTGTTTCCCGCCACTAACAGGCTAACAGCCCTGCGGATTCGCCAAGATCAAGATCCTAGTCCCAGTTGCTGCCAAGTTCTGGCTAACCAGAGAATTGGCCGTCATGGGAGGCTTCCTCATACCCCATTGCAGCAGTCAGCTTCTATGGACTCCTTGTCTCTAAAGCAAGAGACTTGGAGTAACCTTCCCCTACTCCATATTGCAGTTCCGATCGCCAGACCATTAGATATTGTGATCACGTGACTGATGTACAATGGCAAAGGAGTAGTTTCATTCACAGATAAGCAGTGAGCATGCAAATGTGCCAAGGACTATTTCAATTTCACACTTCAATTGTGACATCTGAACACCATATAATATGACCATGTCGAGACAAAAGGACAGGCTAACTGCAAAAGGCTCTGCTCTGCCGCCTGACCAAAAGCCAACGACGCTAGTGGCGGACGCGTAAATCTCCTGCGCTAATCTCATTCTCATTCTCACGTTGTCCGATATTCAGCGCGACTGACCAAAATGGACACTCTTCCTGTGGAGATCATCCTCACCATTGGGAGTTATGTCTCCGACCTAAAGGACAGGCTCCAATTACTGCAAGTCTGCCGACGTTGGCGAGCCCTGTTCCTCGAGGTAGCATACAGCCACGTCTCTATCAATGGGTCTCAGATCCGGCCCCTGACGAAAGTCGTCCTGGCCAACCCGCACATAGGACCGGCCATCCGTGATTTATCAGTCAAATGGTGGGATTCTTACCTTGACTCCCAAACGCAAAGTCCAAGTGATGATCCCCTGCTGGAACGAGCGGAGGAGCTCGTAGGGCAAATCAGCGAGTCGCTGGAGGAGCGAAAAGACTGGGCTGAGCATCTCCGCGGTGGAAATCAGGAAGCATGGCTTGCTCTTCTTCTTGCCTCGGTACCGAATCTGACCGCGCTGTCTGGGCAATATTGTGGAGACGCACCGAGAGTGACGCGGGTTGTGTCGCGGGCTGCCCGCAAGGAACCGCCGTTCGACACCAGGCCGGCCCTGCAGCGGTTAAAGACGCTCTACATCTCCAACGAGGATCATAAGGAAGTCTATCCGCATTGGCAGTTCCTGCCATTCTTCTATTTACCCTGCATCAGGAACGTGAGGTTGAGCGCTGTGAAAGAAACTAGAGAATGGTGCAGACCGGACGACCCGGCCGTGTGTTGCGCGTCAGGCACGGCGCCCGTGGAATCGCTGTCTCTGGAATACCACTGCAATGGGAGAAAAGGAATGGCGGAGTTTATCACCTCGTGCGCCAACCTCAAACAGTTCAAATACCAGCATGACCACCAGGAGATCTGGGGGGAGTCATACATCGACTTTCAGCCCCGGAAGTTCTACAGGGCGCTGCTGACGCAGAAGCACAGCCTCGAGGTCCTCCATCTGAGCGACAGCGGGGACGTGGACGGGGCCGGTGGAGATGACCTGAGCGACGATGAGAAGGATGACGGCCCTCAGGCGTATGACCGGTGGTTTGGATCTCTGGTGGAATTCAGCCAGCTACGGGATCTTCGCATCCGCGTCCAGAACCTTCTCAACTACCACGACCGCGATAAAGAGGAATCCGTCATGCTCAAGGACATTCTACCTCCACGCTTGAGGTCGCTACACGTGGCTGAATGCCTGGTGACACACTGCACGTTGCTCGTGCCGAATCTGCAAGGTGTCCTGGCTCATCGCAAGGAGCAGTTCCCTAACCTAGAACAAATCTCTATCTCTCCTGGGGTAGCCGAATTTGTACCTGAAGACCAGAACACGAGTGTCTATCAACGTCAAGCTCGGATTCCGGAATCATTCAAGGACATGTTTGTGCCAGTCAAGGAGATGTGTGACCGAGCAGGTGTAAAATTCGAAATGACGCTGGGTGGGTCGTATCACATAGTCAGTGATACCCCATTCTTCTAGGTAATTACCTTCAGGTATTCAATCGAGTTACATATACTATGATTTTTCTGTATCACCTCTCGTCAGACCAGGAGCACAAACAATGTTGTCAAGCCAAAGCAAGATATGCGCAAGGCTAGCCCGAGAAGGCAACTCCGGTCAGCAGTGCTCAGTATTAGCACGTAGGAAATGCACCGTCACAAAATAAGTTAGGTTTGCGCAGTTCCAGGGCTAGCATCGTTCATATCCAATGGCAGTGCGATGCTGGTCTGGCTTCATCGGCCTCGGGGCTCGGACATAAGCCTGAGATTAGGCCTCGCTTTGATACAGTTGACAGTGGGCATGATTTAGATATAAATATGACAGATGACCGTTGCAAGACCGTCCTCTTCATTCTCTATCAAAAGATTGTGTAGGATCATTTGGATTCATATTATCAAGACCGCATCTTTGTTCTCACAATCAGTATTATTCCTATAGCTTTACAAAATGACACCCACCAACGCAGCTGCCTGGCTTTCCGAAGCAAAGAGCTATCCTTTCGAAATAAAGAAATCAGAGCTCGGCAACCCAGAGGCCAACGAAATCCTCGTCCGCAACCATGCTCTCGCCATCAACCCTATCGATGGAATGATCCAAACCAAGGCATTCTTCCCCTTGAACTACCCAACCATTCTCGGGCAGGACGTTGCCGGCGAGGTGATTTCCGTCGGCGACAATGTCACCCGATTCAAACCCGGGGATCGTGTTCTAGGCCACGCCGTTGGGCTCATGGCCGGACGCAACGAGGCCTGCGCTTTTCAGACCTACACTATCCTGCAGGTCAACCTGGCGTGTGAAATACCAGACCGCCTCACTTACGAACAAGCCGTCGTCCTCCCTCTCTGCCTCTCCACCGCCGCCTGTGGGATGTTCCAGGAGGATTTCCTCCACCTCAAACTCCCGACTGAGCCCCGCGCTGCGTCCACCGGACAGACCCTCTTGGTCTGGGGCGGCGCGTCCTGCGTCGGCAGCAATGCCATCCAGCTGGCTGTCGCTGCGGGCTACGAGGTGATCGCCACCGCATCTCCAAAGAACTTCGACTACGTCAAACGGCTGGGGGCTCGCCAGGTCTTCGACTACGGCAGTCCAACCGTCTGCGAGGACATTGTCCACGCAGCCAAGGATAGGGTCCTGGCCGGCGCGGTCGACTGTATCGGTTTCTCTGCCACGGCCGTGTGCGTTGATATTCTGAGCCGATCACAAGGGGAGAAGTTTGTCGCGACGGTCAAGGGCGGTTTCGCGCCGCCCCCGGATGGGATCCAGGTGAAGCATATCTTCGGCACGACCCTCAAGGACAATTTCGTTGGAAAAGCCGTGTACGAGGACTTTCTTCCGCGAGCGCTGCTGTCAGAGGCGTTTGTGCCTGCTCCTGCACCTCTGGTTGTGGGGGCCGGTCTGGAAAGGGTGCAAGAGGCGGTGCATCTGTATGGAAAGGGGGGGATTTCTGCGCAGAAGGTGGTTGTTCTGCTATAATTTGTAGGAATAGCGTTCTCATAGGTAGTTACAGCAAGACAAATCGTGTCTTCAGTCTTCAGCATGATCCCTGACAATACTGCTCTGGGTATTGACCTCGGCCTTTCGGGGCTACTGCCGTAACACCGAAGCGCCAGGATTTGCTAGTAAGCAGGCAGCAGCCATAGTAAGTATTATAAATCCGATCGAAGCACGATTGCTGTATTCTCTGCCATCATCTGCCGCATCATAATCAACAATGGTCTACCTCGGTCCCTCTCGAGGATGCGAAACATGCAAACGGCGGAGGAAGAAGGTTGGTCGCACACACAGCCATGGAAGCGAGCCAATTCAAGTACAGTGCGATAAAGCTCGTCCGGTTAGCATCTCTACTGTTATTGCTACTCCCGTTAACCGTTGGAGCTAGTCATGCCTGCGATGCCGCAATTCAAACCGCACATGTGGCGGCTATGACGAACAGGCCAGCAAGACCCTGATCTTCCGACGGAACCACACGCAGACCCCAAATCCGACGCGCACAGACTGGGCGACTGTAGAGCCCCTCGCGCGAAAGTGTAGTCTACCAATCCGAGCACCGTATCCCGGCACAGATATCCTGCCGGATGACGCTGTCCCAAAAGAAGTGAGCGAGGACGGGGTAGTGGCGTATGCAGTGCGGGCATTCTTCTATGACTTTTCCATATCAGCACTGGATAGCACATCTGTTGGCTTTCTCAAGGATCTGGCGGCAAAGATCCAGCAAACAGGGCTGGATTCGGTTCTTGCAAAGGCCTGCACGATGATTGGCTATGCGAATCATGCTAGGAAGCTTCGTCGACCGTCTTTTACGACCAAGGCAGAGGTGCTGTACCATGAGCTGCTAAGGTTTCTGGCGAAAGAGATTGCGACAGTGTCCGGGGAAGACAGGTCAGATCTTATTCAGCTGGCTTGGCTGATGGGTCTGTACGAGGTGCGATTTCTCTTGCAGTTGTTGTAGTCGACTGCTGACTGTGTAGGTGGTCGTGGCTGATGAGACACGACTTGAGCAAATTGATGTACATGTTAGAGGGATAGTGGGGATGCTGCAAGTCGAGAACTCACCCTTGGGCTTTGTCCGTGGAGCATTTTCTGCTTGCTCCCTTTTTCCTAGTGCACCGAGTAAGTGGATTCGATACTGGACCTACTAAGCTGATAGTCTAGAATCCTGGTTTTCCAGGCTTGCCACATTCGGTCAATGACCTGGGACGTCTACAAGACATCTTGTTTGACATAGGCCCTCTGCGGATGGAAGCAGAACTTGTCCTTGCGGATTTGGCATTAACTGAGTCACATCTCGTTGCCCTTCGACAGAGGGTAAGCATCCTTAATAATCGTCTAGCAAAATGGGAGGAGAGTGTTGCGCCGGAGAGCAAACCCGTCACAATAGGCCACATACCAGCGGGTAATAGCTCGTATATTGAAGTCGGATACTGGCCTGGGCCATTACACATGTATATTGATCTTCGCGCGGCAGCCATCTTGAACATTAGTCGCGTTGCGCGATGCTACCTCCTCGACCTCATCTTCAGGCTCAATGATATGCAGGCCGACGGGGAGGACGATGGTCAAGAGATAGATGAGGCTGTCCAGCTCATTCAGGACTTTACCTCTTCGATCCCGTACCACCTAGTCGAAGACTTGCATTCATTCTTCGCAATTGTGCAACGTGGCCATCGCATCGAAGAACCCGGACGCGCAGTTGGAGGATTACTGCTAATGTATCCACTGTACATTGCTTCTCGGCTATCCATCGTACCACTGGAAATGCAGGACTACTTCAGACGGTGTCTGTTCTGGATTGGGCAAAACATGGGTGTTGGACATGCCTCCCTACTATCTAATGTGAGATCTTATAATGTTGCAGTTGAAGTCTCCGGTTGTGCTGATCTTTCTCAGGCTACTGCTTTTCACATTGAAGATCTAACCGCAGGATGTATGATTGTCTACGGGGGGTTGCTGTGAAGGGATTAAGTATTTTCTTCTTATTGTCGGGCTTCCTGAGACATGAGAATGAGAGGAAGCTGTGCAGAAAGAATTCTGAAACGATCCACTATACACCAGTCCATATCTGTCCTGGTATCCTCAGTAAGAGAATAGGACACATGCCAAGGCGCTTTTTCATAAACTTAGGTTGAGATCATCCCAGTATTAGGCAGCGCATTCCCAACAAGAGAGAGTGGCATACTCGTATTGCGACTCAGCCACCACTAGCGTGGCCTTTTCTGACACGTTGCCCGTCTTCCTCAAAGGTCGAGAGCTACCATGAAAGATGACAATCTAACAATGGAAAATGTTTTATTCTATCTCCAGTTTGGACCGCACGAGCGCAGGGTGAAGAAATATCTCGAAGAAGCAACCAGAGGTCTGTTCCCTCGGCCTAGAATTCCATGCCTGACAGAGCTAGAATCCATACTCGAAGATCTCAGAAACGCACTCCGTTCTCGATGGGCTGGCGCTAAAGACGTGTGGTCTATTTTCGCGTCGCACTCCTTCCGAGATGGATATGAAGCGTGTATGTCCGCGTTCAACATTTAAACCGACGTATGCTGATCCCATAGACTGGGACGTCGAGAGCTTCCGCCAGTTTCTCGCCAGCCGACATCCGGGTATCGCTTCCCATGAGACGACGTATCTGCTCTGGCGGTGTCTGCATTTCTACGCGCATCATCCATTCCCGCACAGTTCTCGCGGGAGCAGGATCGATGAAAAGGGGTTCCAGCGGGCGATTGCCCTCCTTGCGTTTCGAGGAACAGGTTTACTAGGGACGCAGGAGCGGGGGGATTACTACTGGCGCGATGACGAGGCAGCATTTCAGCAAGCTGACTTTCGGAGGATCGTGAGAAGCCTTAGTGAGCTTTCGATATACTATCCTGCGGAGCATGAGTCGACTGTGACGGATGTAATGGACGTCCTGGCTACGACGCTGCCTCACTCGACGGCGCTGGCGCCGTCGCCGGATCAGCTGCGAGATGCTGCTCTGCGGATACTACCTCAGCCATCCACGGGGTATCGTCTTTTTCGAGACGGGTTCTCGTTGTTCGTCCGGTTACTCCTGCAGTTGAGACTGTGGGACGTCCAGGGGTCATGTTTGCCGTCTGGGATATTCAGCGACGAATCTGATTGCCAGAAACTGGCAGAGAGCATCACCGAGGCGATTTCTAATGAAGATCAGACAATTGATCCTGGGATCGTGACTGACGTTCTGGTGAGTGTATCCCTTGAGCTCGGATGGCGCTAATCCCGTACAGCCAGGTGTTCGCGAGCGATTCTACCACTTCTGGGGCGTCATATTCCAGCCCCAAAGTTTACGTGATAAGATCGTACCTCCAGAGGAATGTTTACCGAACCGTACCCTGGCGGCAGTTTCTCTCCTGCTTTCAGTCGCCACGAGGGATGCGTCTTGGCCACGGCAATTGCTACAGACGCAAGACCTGGGAATGGACAATCTGCTTGAACAAATACGTGGCGGTCGCAATCCACATATTGTATTGTTCACAAATGAGACTTGCACAGCTGTGTTAGGGGCATATATCCCCAATCCTTCGAGCCGTGACACAGAATCACAGTGCACCAGCAACAGCCCGCTGGACGATAGCGGTCACTTTCTCTTTCAGCTAAGTCCGAGGTTTTGCCTGCTACGGTCGATCAAATCAAATTCATCGCTGGAAGAGTTGTTCCGTGCTGACAGCGTATCCTCACTCGAGAGTACGACAATGGATGAGAAACCGTCACGCCCTTATACCGTAGGCCATATAGGCGCGGGAAGAGGGACTCGTCTGCGCGTTGATCCACAGAGTCTGACAGTTACAATGGTGGTCGATCTGGACGAATCAAGTGAAGAGAGAGCCATCTACACAGATGTGTGCAGGCGGCAGAACGGGCAATGGGAGCTTACTGTCCATCCTGCGCAACTCCATATACTCCGCGTTAGGCCCAGCGCCAGCACACCGACTTGGAGCAGGAATACAAACAGCGAGGCGGTAATCAGTGGAGAGGAATTGAGGAACAGGATTCATGGTTTTGGCTCTACGAACAGCGAAATACCCAAGCCTGGGGCTCAAGATTGAATGATGAGATGTCAATGTTTGGTTGAGTGGGTCGATCGATCGCCTCCAGACAGCTTCTTGATAGACCGACGTAAGTTGTCCGGATCTGGCAGTACGTGAGCTCTGTTACTGACCCGCCAATGAGGAATGCAAGTGGTGCTTGCTATATGGCAGGACTTGGCCTCTAGATTGAGATGGACTGATCAACCAGTGACGTTTGATTATGAATATTTCTGTCATTATATTCATGCATACTTTGTAGACATGACAAATGTCAAGACAAACTTCCATCAAGAAACACCACAATACATGTAGCATTATCCCTCCGCAAGCCCTCTGCAACATCCCGGACAAGCCCGTCTGCCACCTGCTGCACCCCCAGTCCCCCTTCATGCCGCTTCTTGATTTCATCGATGATGACATTATCTTCCAGCACGTTGGTGACACCATCCGTGGTCAAGGCAAGGATATACCGACGATCTTCCCGCAGATCTACCCGGGTGACGGACGGTTCCGTGGACAAAAAGTTGCCCTGTTCAAGCGCCGGCGTCATGGCCGCCAGTTCCTGGCCTGCCGTGCTTGGGCCTGCAGTATCATTGTTCAGGGGGTTTTTATACTGCAGATCTCCGAGTGCTCGGGACATATTCAAAGCTCCTATTCCCGTTAGCCTTCGTCCGAGTAATCGAAATGCATGGTACCTATCCGCGGAGTGTCCGAGGTGTAGTTGACCATCCCCCCAGCCCTCTCAATCCTCTCCTTCTCTCTCGGACAATCAGGTTTGTGGTCCTGCGTCAACCGATGCTGCACTCTTAGCTTGATATCCCACCAAGACTGGAGCCACATACCACAGTCTCCATTTGCCCCGTTATATCGCACTCGCCGAGGACGATATGAGAATCGCCTAGGTTCCCTACCACCAGCACGCCCGTGGTAAGGTTGATAATCGCCAGTGAGGCCGTCGATCCAGCGATCGCGAATTTCTCCTCCCCGTCCTGATATTCGTCAAGCAGCATTCCCTCTTCTTTCCGTATAGCTTGTCGGATGGCGTCTTCGTACCGGCCGGCTTGTAGCGTGTCGCCTTCAAAGAGGAGGTCCATGATGTGTTTCTTTGCGTGCTCGGCGACTTTCCTGGAGCCACTGTCTCTCGTTAATGCGTTTCAGTAGTAGTCAATGGCGTCTTACTGTCCGTCGTAGACCGCGAAGATGGCCAGGTCGTCGGTGATGGTCGTCTTGGGGATCTGGTCCGGAAGGATTATAGTATATTTGTCCTGCTGGGAGGGTCGGGTTCCTTGCGCCTGCTGTCGTTAATATGCTAGCTATATGTACTTTCCGGCGTGACTTACACAGGCGCCTCCTGCTCCTTGTAGTTTGATGGCATGTTTGGACAAATGTGCAATGGAACCCATGTTGCAGTTATCATTCAATTATGGACTTGTGAAAATATTGTATCCTAGGTTGAATAACTTAGTCTGTACCTGCATCCTATTTATGGAATCCTACTGCTGCTGCGGAGATGACATCACTTGCCAATGACCTTGTCTACGCATTCTCCGATCAAGTTCATGCATGAATATGATTCACGTAATTGACCAATCATTATGTCCAGGGAAGAAGTATCCAGCTACTGTCATAGGTAAGCTCCCTTATATCATTGATACCTATTTATCCTACGGCTTATTTTACCTGAATCTGGTCTATCTTATTCGGTCGAGAATTGAGCTATAAATCACCAGAAGGAAAATATATTGACCTGTTGATGTCTATAGTTAATATGCCAGGTTGATAATAAGACCATGAAGACATCCCATCTGACAGCACTCACTGAATGATTATTTATGAGATATCTATATCTTCACGGATTTCCCCCTGATAAATTACCTGATTAAGAGGACAGTCTGGGGTTTTGGTTAGGGCTGCCAAGATATGGCGTCACCCTTATTTCACAGCTGCAGCATATATTTAGAGGGCTAGTGATGGCATGACATGGTGTAGGCTTTCTAATAGCTTCTATGACTAATGACTGCTGAGGGTGCAGATCAAGAATATAAATAGTGCATATCAGACACTAAGACGATCTTGCAAGGAGAGAAATGTTGCATATCATTAAGACAGAGACCTAGACCTGCACACTTCTCTCATTGTGACAATAGACCCAAATCTAACTAATGCTCACTATATCCTACCTTCCTGAGAAGATATTAATCGCCACGATGTTACTGGTAGTGACGACATGACTAGTCAAATCAGCTGATATCTAAGCTGCCACCCTCTCATCATGACATCGCACTACCAGCTATATAAACCAATAGCCCCGTAAGAAGTAACCCAAATACATACAAAATGGCTACCAGAATCCTACGCCCCATCTCAATCTTGAGGCTGCAACCCTCCCCCCTCGCAGCAAGAACAGTCTCCACCTCCCCCATCGCCATGCTCGGACGCATCACCGACACAGTCAAGCAGGACCACCGCGAGATCGAAGCCTGCTACCAGAAGATCATCAATGCGTCGAACCGCGACGAGCAGACCCGCTTCCAGAATCTGTTCACCTGGGAACTAGCCCGGCACGCGATCGGCGAGGAGCTCGTCGTGTATCCTGCTTTCGAGAAACATCTCCCGGATGGAATTGCCATGGCGGATAAGGATAGAAGAGAACACCAAACTGTACTCTTTTCTTCCTGTATTTCTACCCCTGAGAAAGACTAATGGCCGCAGGTGAAAGAGAAACTCAAGAAATTCCAGAACCTCGACCCCTCCAGCCCCGACTTCATGCCCACCCTCAACTCCCTCATGCAGGATCTCTCGCAGCATATCAAGGAAGAGGAAACGAACGACCTCATCCAACTCGACCAGGCGCTCTCCAAAGACGACAGCGTCGGTCTTTCCAAGTCCTTCGAGCGGACCAAGATCTTCGTGCCGACGCGCTCGCATCCCAGTGCGCCTGACAAGCCACCGTTCGAGACGGCCGTGGGATTGTTAACGGCGCCGATTGATCAGGTTGCGGATTTGTTCCGGAAGTGGCCACATGAGGGGCAGCAGGCGCCTATGAATCATTAGTTCATTAGTAGGTTTGTCGTAGTAAATCTAGTGATCGACGTTCGAGCTGCCATAATACTTTTTCAGTGTATGTCCGAATCGAGTAGATTTTGGCCAGACCTAGACCTGGTCGACGGTAACCCTGCAGTCATAGATCACTTGGACGTCACTGATTCAATCAGGCGATCCCAATACCGGAAACGATATCTGATCAAGGCAAGCTTGGAAACAAGCTTGATCAAGTTGTAAACTCAATCCCAGATGGTAATAGCACAATGACGCGGGGTATTATATGCTTATCCTAGTATAAATCAACACAATGCTCAACACATTCAAGCAGTCAAATTCAAGAAGTGATAAAATTGATTAAATGAAGATGTCCCGCACAATCTGCATCACCTCTGTCGACGGCCACACCGGCTTCCTCATCGCCGAGCTCCTCCTCACAGATGAGACCTTCAAATCCACCATCAAGTCCGTCACAGGTCTCACGCTGCACCCCCACGCGGAAAAATGCAAGGAACTCTCCAAGCTCGGCGTCAAGATCGTCGCGCACGAACCGGGCCGTCTGAAACATACCGTCCAGACCCTCCAGCAGGTCGGCGCTGAGGTCCTCTGTTTGATCCCGCCGGCCCATAAAGAAAAGTTCGACATCACGATGGAGATGATCCAGGCGGCGAAGAAGGCCAACATCCCCAATGTCTGCTTCGTCAGCTCGGCGGGGTGCGATCTCGCCGAGCGCGACAGGCAGCCTCGTCTGCGGGAGTTTATCGATCTTGAGGCGGCGTTTATGGCGAGCAAGGGGGACTCATCTACTGAAACGGGGCATTCGCCTGTTGTCGTCAGGTAGCCTCCCCCTTTTTTCCAAAGGCAACGGGAAATGACTGATCAACTGCAGGGCTGGCTTCTACGCCGAGAATCTCCTGCTGTACTCGGAGCAGGCGCAGAACGAGGGAATCCTCCCTCTCCCCATCGGGTCGAACCATAAATTCGCTCCTATTGCATTGGGGGTATGTCTTGTGCTCTGTGTTGAATGAGAAGCTGACCAGATAGGACGTCGCACAAGTCGTCGCTCACGTCCTCTGCGGCAAAGGCAAGCATGGCTTCAGCGATCAGCACCGCGGCCAGCTGATGGTTCTGACTGGTAATCATGTCCTCAACCTGCTCGCAACGCAGCTAACGGCCGCAGGACCAATGCTCACGACCGGTGACGAACTAGCCAGCGTGGCCAGCAAGGCGCTGGGCAGTGACCTCAAATTCGAGGATATCTCAGAGTACGTACACTTGTCATTGCAAGAACGAACTAACAGCCCTAGGGCCGAGGCGAAGAAGGTCCTGCATGCTCAGTCGGACAGCGACCAGTCCGAGCTGCAGTATCTGCTCGAGTACTACTCGCTTGTCCGCGAGGGCAAGACCAACTACATCTCCACCACGGCGTTCCACGATGTGACGGGTGGTCATCCACAGGAGCCGCCGGAGTTCTTCAAGGTATACGCCGACAGCTTTCGTCCCAAGCACGTGAACAAGAAGAGGAAGGTGAGCAAGTAACTGGCCAGTCAGACCAAGGCATATGAAAAGTGAACATTCACATGTATAGTACCTATTCAACTTCTGCACTGTCAATTCCATCCGTCTTCGTCTCACTCAGTAACCCCCCCTCCGTAATCCTCACCCTCCTCCCACCCACCTCCATCACCC